TATATATACAGTGTGTCATATTATATTGCGTCTGTATACAGAGGGTATACTGTACAACATATTATTAATATGTACATGGTATAAAATGATGACATTTCCCCTATCCTTATCAGGGAGAATCAGGGGACATCGGCTGGCTGAAGGGACACTCTGGCCATCTCTACCATTGTTCCTTCCTTAGAACCCATCCTAGTCTTTAAGAGAGTGCCCTTCAAAGCTGTGGCCTCTGCTGGCATTTTCCCAGCTCTGTTACCTCATATTAGCCAGTCATGCGTTTGCTGTCAGGTCTGAGGAGGACTCATTGGAATTGAGTGTGGGGGAGTCTGGGGTCGGGGACAGGATGGCAGGCACTGGCTGTGTTTTCTGTTTAATTCCACACTGCCTCTATGAGCCCCTCTGTGTTCTGAGCAATTGATCCTCAAAGAGACCCTTGATCTCTGCCTTCTCAGGGTGGAGAGCTGAACTCCAGGCTTTATGGAGCCTTGGAGGTCTCCGATAACACTAAGCAAACAATTCCTTGTTGACTGAACCAAACCCCCAGCCCAGAAGGGAACGCTTCTGGCCTTGACATCTCCTGCCATGAGGATTCTGTGGGTCTTCAGTTTTGAACAATGTAAACAAGTTGGGCTTAAATTGCCTCTATTACTTCTGTTTACATTGCCTGGAACAGGGGAAGTTAGGAAACTTGATGGGACTGAACACACAAAAGCCCTGAGTCTGCTGTAGCCTTTCTCTAGAGGTTTACCCCCAGAGCTGTGTTCTTCCCTCGTAGAGGAGACTCTGGGCTGTAGAGGTGGCATGATTGCAGGGGGTTGCCGTGATTGGGCTTGGTACCCAGGCCTCAGGACTGGAGTACTCTGTTGTCCCGGGCTCCACAAAAACTTCCCACAGAGGTTTCATTGCTTTAGAACAATTGATAAGGTCCATGAGAATCGGTGTATGTTACAAAGTAGCACACATGCGGTGATTCCTTAGGACCTGGGCAGGGGGCTCAATGCGTGAAGTGTTGGCTGGACTAGCATGAGGGCCCAAGTCCGGTGCACACTTGTGGTCCCAGCACGAGGGAGGCAGAGACAGGCTTCTGGTCAGTCGTCAGTCAGTGAGCTCCTGGTTCCTGAACAGACCGCCCCGGTCTCAAAAAGCAAGGTGGGAAGTGCTATAGGAAGCCACCAAACGTTTGCCTCTGTCCACACCTTCCCAGAGGAAAACTAGAAGTCAGCATAGGCCAGGATTTGGCCTCATGTCATTACCTCAGTGTGGTATGTTTTCAGGATTGGGGCAGTGGAAGGGGGAAGGAAAGGTGAGAGGGGGAAAGAGAGGGAGAGAGAGAGAGGTAGGGAGAAAGGGGAGAGAATGGAAGGGAGGGGAGAGATGGAAGGGAGGGAAGGAAGCAGCAGCTACTTTTCGTGTTCCATCAGCAAGAGTACATCACGGGGAAGAAGTCGGTCCTGGGCGCTGTCCCAGTTCCCACTGGCTGCTTCTACTGCCTCTTCAGAGCCTCCGTGTTCAGGTTAGAGAACCTAGACCTGGTGGATCCAGCTGTGTGTCCAAGGCGCACAGC